TGGGTTGGAGCGACTCTCGCAGCCGCTGCTCCAGACGGCTGACGTCAACATCGTGCGGCATGACAAAGGCGACCAGAGTATCATTGACAACAAGAGCAGCCGCTTGGGTGAGGCGCGGCTCCTCCTGGTACATCTTCTGCTCGACCGCCGCGAGCTCGACGCGGAAGCCGCGGATTTTGACTTGCCGGTCCAGCCGTCCAATGTAGACAATCTGTCTGTCTGCACTCCAATAGCCGTAGTCGCCTGTGCGATACATCCGTTCACCAGGATGCCAGGGATCGGGTAGCACACTGTAAGCCGTCTTGGCGTCGTCTCCCACGTAGCCTCGCATCACCTGTTGTCCGGCCAGGAAGATCTCCCCGGTTTGGCCCTCCGACACGGGCTGTAGATCCTGGTCCAAGATGTACATGCGCGCGGTGCGAATGGCATGTCCGATGGTGACCTGCTGGCCGGGCTCCAGGCGCGTAAACGACGTACAGATAGAGCACTAGGAGGATTAGTCTATATCAAACATAAGGATACACCAGGGACCTACCTCTGCAGGACCATAGGCATTGTAAAATGCTCGGCCCTCGCCCCATCGAGCGAGCAAGCCGGGAGTGACAGGTTCTCCTGTTGCATAGACCATGTCGAGGTTAGGATAGTCGTCCGGATTCAGCACGCTGAGCACAGAAGGAGTAATTGTCGACACATCGACCTTGGCCAAATGGGCCAGAGGGTCGGACGGGTCACGAAGCACCAAGGTTCCACCATGCAGCAACGCAGAGAAAACCTCGTTGGCGCAGTAGTCGAACGCAGGCGACATGAACTGAGCAATGCGCCGGCCGGGACGGCTGAACATGGTGGCTTCAGGATTTGACTGCAAAGCCAGAAAGCCCCGGTGGCTGATGGGGACACCCTTGGGGCGGCCGGTGGTGCCGGAGGTGAAGACGATGAGGGCATCCTCGTTTGCGTTCGCGAGCAACGATGGCTGTCTGCTGGTGTCGCTTGTCTCGGTTTCTTGAATCGTGAAGGCACGGAGGTCGGTTATTGGCAAGATCGCCCCGGACGACGTGCAGGCATTAGGGATCAAGAGTGCACTGGCACCGCTTTGCTCGTACACCGCGACCCGTCTCGCCATGGGATACGCAGGATCGAGCGGGCAGTATGCACAGCCAGCTTTCAGGATACCCAGGATACCGACAACCCAGTTGAGGGTTCCATCAGCGTGAATGGCAATGACTTGAGCTCCGGGGAAGTGTTTGGCAATATGGGAGGCCACCGCGTTGGACTTTTGATCCAGTGTCCGGTAGGATAACGAGCCTCCTGGTCCGTCCACGGCTATCAAATCCTTGTGGAGGTCGGCAGACGCATAGAACGCAGCCGCTACGTTTGGTACATTGTCTCGCTCGATATCAGAAGGTTGGTCGACCGCAAGAGATGTCTTTGTCGGCCCCGTAAGCCATGCCTCCAGAGTCGAATCATGCACCAGTGCCTTGAGCGCCAGTTGGAAGGTATCGGCATACTGCTGCACAGTCTGCTCGCAGTGCACAGAGGGATTGTATACCAGACGGAAACGAGCATCAGCTTCGACCAGTAGACTCAACGCAAAGGTCGTGTTCTCGAAGAACTGCTCCTTTTGAGGCGGGATTGGTTGGTCGTAGGCGGGGAAATCATACTGCGTCGCCAGCAGAGAGTCGACTCGGTAACCGATTTGATCTGGGGCAGACCATGCGTAGGCGCTAATGGTTGCCAGACCTTCGAACGTGGTCTGCAGCTGGCGCTCAACGGATGCGTCTCCCTCAAGGCGGCATACCAGGGGCAAAGTGGCCATCAATGGCCCGACGGCGTGTGCATCGTCTGGGAGGACCTCTCGACCGGAGAAGACAACTCCCAGAGTTACCAGGGGGGACTTGCGCGTCCGAGCCAAGGTCATGGCCCACGCGGTGTAGTAGACGGCCGCCAGGGTGACACTGCAGCTGGATGCGAGTCGGTGCAGCTCGTCCACGCCGCCGACATGCTTGAACAGCACCTCCTGAGCGAGGTAGGGCTGCGCTACAGGCGTTGTGGTTGCCTCTGTTTTCGAGAGTGGCTGCAGCGGCTGCAGATACTGCTCCCAGAACCGCCGTGCCTCGGTGTCTCTCTGCTTCTGGACACTCTGCAGATTCCACGCTGCGTCCACAAAGGAGTAGACACGGGAAGGTGTGACACCCTGGGCTGCCTGCTGCACCCGAGCCAGAATAAGCCCCAGGGAGTAACCGTCGATCAGGCTGTGATGGGCCGTCCAAACCACGGTCACCTCACCCTCGTCGTCATCGTTGTCATTGGGGATAAATTTCATAAATTCCAAACGCATACCCAGTCCGACAGCCAGACGTGAAGGATCGCTCAAGGCAGCATCGTAGTCTTCCCGGCGATGAAGGACGATTTCCTGCGGCTTGCACCGTGGCTGAGCGTGCACGATCTGCACGCCGGGCCCGATATCCAGCGCGATTTGCGTCCGAAAGATGGGTTCACTGAGTGCGACCTGTCTCCATGCATTGCAGATGCGATCGGCTGTGGCCAAAGGGTACGATTGCCGCAGCTGATTCGTATTGGTCCCGTCGCTTTGGAAGACGGGAGCGCTCAGCTCTAGCTGGAGGGGGGTCAACGGAGCGACCTCGATTTCGGATGGAACCATGCCTTCCGAGGGATGAAGTGCAGCAGCGACCTCGGATTGCAGAGATAATCGGAAGTCGTTTTGTTCCTCTTTGTCTGGCATAGACTGGCCAGACCCAGGGAGGTCGCGAGCATACGGGAGGATGCCTCTGACCGTCGGATGCAGGTACAGATCACGAGTAGTGAGCAAGATGCCCCGTTCACGGCACAGGGATGTGAATCGAAGAGCAGCCAGAGAGTTTCCACCCATGGCGAAGAAATTGATATCCTTCGACGTCGACGCCGACGGGAGATCCAGTCCCAATGCTGTATACATGCATTCAGCTATGACTTGCTCGCGCTCCGTAGGCCGCTCTCCCCTTGTGGTCACTTCATCATCTGTGCCCTCGCAGAGACGTGCCTGGTACTCTTTCAGCATGTTCTCAATTGCCTTAGTGTCGATCTTTCCGTTGGCTGACAATGGAAACTGATCGACAGCCATGTACCGACCCGGCCGGTGGAAGGAAGACAGTCGACGCTGGGCCTCATTCTGCAGGCCGTCCAGATCGGCAGTGGCCGGGGTCACCAGCACAACCAACAGACCGTTGATCAGCGAAGCATAGACGTCAGTGACTCCAAAGCCCATCTGCCGTAGCGGTTCCTCGACATCAGCAGGCAGATTGACGAGAAAGCCGCGGTTTTTGACGGTTCGATCAGTGCGGCCGCGGAACTCCACCACCCGCTCGCCATCGTTACGACGGGTCCAGCGTCCTTGGTCGCCGGTGCGATAGACTCGCTTGCCATGCCAGTCGATAAACTTCTCAGCTGTGAGGGCGGCGTTCCGGTAGTAGCCGTGCGCCAGTCCGACGCCTGCGATCGCAATCTCACCTTCTTCGCCTTCCTCCTCGACGGGGAGGAGAGTATCCGGCTGCAGCAGATATACGGGTCCGTTGGGCATAGGACAGCCGATGATACTCCGATTGATCATTCCTGTCTCCTGGCAGACCTCTACTTCCTGCATCAACGAGGCACAGGTTGTTTCCGTGGGACCGTATGCATTCAGGATGCGAACGCCGAATTCAAGCCAGCTGGACAACAGCGGCGCTGGTGGCGACTCTCCACCCAATAGAATTGTATGCACATATGGGTAGCTGTCTGGTAGGGCCGTTGGTAGCGGTAGCGTGGCCAGGATCGAGGGTGTGGACGCGAGGATCGAGCAGGTCTGCGCCTTGTCGAAGAGGGTGTCCATCGTCGCAGGGACCACGATGCCTGAGTTGCCTAGAATGGAAAAGAGCATGCCCGTAGAGGCTATACAGTGAGACTTCGGTCATGCCAGGATACACAGGAATACTTACCATCAAATGATACCGACAAGATATGCAGTACTCGGTCTCCCGGCTGCACATCCATGTTGAATGGACTGGTCTGGGCATAATTGGCCACCGCACGGTGTGGAATCATGACACCCTTGGGCACACCTGTGCTCCCACTGGTGAATATCAGACAGGCGAGGTCTTCGGGAGCGATGTCGGGAATGACCTTGGTGGTACTGCGGTCGGTCGATAGAGCGGTCACATCGGCGCCGGTCACATGGATGACTTTGTGCCGCGGGCTTTCGAACGGTTCGACGGTTGTGTTGATCAGAATACGGCTGTCTGTCCCGTCCAGCACTGACTGGATCCGCTCTGACGACCACGAGCTGCGGTCCAGAGGGACATAGCAGGCGTGAGCCTTGAGGATGGCAAGCAGGGCGACAATATTCCGTGTGCCGTGCTCAGTAAGTAAGAGTACCGCCTCGCCAGGCACTACTCCTTCTTGCTGTAGCCTTCGTGCCAAGTTCGATGAGGCTGCATCTAGTTCCGTATAGGTGAGGGAGCCGCTCTCATGGTCGACTGCCAGCTGGTGTGGCGTCCGAGCGACGGACCGGGCAAAAAGCTGGCAGAGGTCGAGGGCTACTACTGATGGCATGATGAAGAGCGTAGGGTTGAGCCAAACAATAATACAGTAGAGATTCAAAAAGGAGCAGACATGCCTGACTTTTATCTGTTGAGAGAAGTTTGATGTGAGGTTGACCTCGAGGCAAGTCGATGCTTCATATGGTTATCTGTCGGGCATGTCCGGGGATGGATGGCCGTCCTTTCCTGCACTATGGCGGGGGCGTATTCCTTTGGACTCCACGTACAGTCCCTATTGGCACCCACTATTGCCACCCCTAGTATAGGCACTATCCCGATTTCCGGCTTGGTTTGGCCTCCGAAAAGTCGGCCTCCGAGCAGGGTTTCAGCGGTAGGCCTTGCAGCGGCGGTCGCTGCTGTTAAGGTATCGACAAGCCCCTATTCACTACAGTTTCGACCATTCTGTTGGCTCTTTCCAACTCCCTCATCATGGCTTACACACTGACTGTACTCGTCCCCTGTTTGGTGCTGGCACTCGTTGTGGCCCGGCCTGTTCTCTACTGGATTCTGTCTGTCATAGTCGATGTACGTCTTTCCTGATGCTCTGATGCTCATTGCGAAGGATACTGACTTATGCCATGTAGGCCTTTCTACGATGGAAATACCCTTTGCCCCATCACGCGGGTTCTAAACCCCTGCCTCGTGCCCGTTATACATGGCCCAACGGTCAAGGCACGGAAAAGTTCTTCAATGGACGTTCCGCTGCCAAACAGTGGCGACAGCAATGGGGTCCGATATATCAGATTTGGTCTGGCTGGTCCCCTGAAATGTCAGTTTGAGCTTCTCTCTCCCCCGCACGGTCCCAGCTGCTAATGCTGACGATTGATAGTGTACTGACCACTCCTACCCATGCCGTCCAATTCTTCCGCAACTCCCATCGTCACACAAAAGCTGTGAACAACGATTCAGGCTGGCTATTCGGCGAAGTTCTCGGTGTCTGCGTCGGCCTGCTCAGTGGCTCTGACTGGAAACGAGTTCGGCAGCAGGTCGAAGACGGCTTTTCACGTCCAACGGCTGCTCGGTATACGGCTGACCTGGTCACTCTGGCCCGCGAATATGTCCACAGCACCCTGTTAGCGTCATCCGAACAAAGCCTCGAAACAAAAGGAATCATTCACGTCGAGCCTGCCAAGACCCTCCAATTCTTTCCCTTTCTGTCGGTGGCTCAGATCCTGTTCGGACGCTTGAGCCCGATGCAGCGTTCGCAGCTGACCACGCTCGCTCCCTTGAGAGAAGAATTGTTCAAGGAGGTCATTCGGGGCGGCATCAACCGCTTATCTATCGCGCCCTGGTTCCGGTCGCGGGGAGTACGCCTCTTGAACGAATTCCAGACGCAGTGGGAACAGTTTGTCGAAGACGCCTACCACAAAGCCGTCGAGCGCAACCAATCCCCTAGGCCGCTGGTCGTCGGACTTTGGGAGGCTTATCAGGCGGGAACAATTAGCAAACGCGAAGTAAGTGCTCGTCTCGACGGATCTTTTGAATGTTCTGACTCGTATAGTGCCTGCAAACCCTCGACGAGTCGCTCTACGCCAATTTGGACGTCACCACACATGCCCTCTCGTGGAATGTCTTGTTGCTGGCAGAGAATAGCGAGGCACAGACGGAACTGCGACAGGAAGTGCTCTCTGCGCTGCGAAGCGAGGCAAGCGAGTCGTACGAACGGTACATTGACCGGGATGACACGTTCCTGGCTGCTTGCGTCCTGGAATCGGCACGAATGCGCCCAATACTGCGTGAGCAAACACCCATGTCCATGGGAAAGCCATGTGCTAATGTCTTTGGCAGCATTTTCCAATCCTGAGTCGGCGCCCGAGGATCTATACGTGGACGGCTATCTCATCCCTGCCAATGTATGTAGCTATCCTTCTGTGATGTCCAGAGCACCTTGTTGATATCATCCAGACCAATGTTATCGTGGACGCCCAAGCGATCAACATCGAGAACCCTTTCTGGGTCAACGGAACTAAATACAATCCTCGACGGTTCTTCAGTCTCAACAAGTCAGACGTATGCCATTTCTGATCGTCATTCTGATTTTGAACCTGACTGACTTTGTAGGTCCGCCATAATATGTGGCGCTTCGGGTTTGGACCGCGACAATGCCTCGGCAAGCACATTGGCGAACGGATGCTCAAGGCCATTGTCGCTGAGATTATTCGCCAGTACGTCGTCTCTATCTCGGCAGACAGTGCTTCGGAGAAGAATGTTCTGCAGGAGGATAGCTGGGTGGGATTGCCTGCGACGCGGATTCAGTGTGTGCCGGTGGGACGAGAGGTCGAGAAGGATTAGATAGTCGTATAGTAAGAAAACGAAGCATATTTTTGCTCCGCCGCTTGTGATTATGACCTGATTGCGTGGGTCTTCTCCCGATATTGATTCGAAACAGCTCGTGTTGGAAACATGGTAGCATCGAGTCGATTCAAATCGATCAGCTTCAGATGTCACAATCAGCCTGGATCACCTTGTAAACGATTAGGCCTTGTGGGAATCAAATCACATTTTTCAATCACATACATGCAATCAGCCCAGTGCGAGTCATGTCACGTAGCTCACTGCAGATAGAAATCTATGTACATATCCAATTCACATAGGCCGAAAGTCGATGATACAAGGCCAGGCGCGACGCACCCGATGCACCTGGTCAATCCTCCAACCGGCCAACTCACCCAGCCGCTTCCAGTCCTCAAGGGACCGCTCCTTACCATTGCAGGTAATCATCATGATCAGATCGCCATAGCGAGGCAGACGACCCGATCGACCAGGCGACTTGATCGACTCGACGACCAAGAAGCGACTGACAGGCGACGGCACAATACTCCGGCGCACATTCTTCAGGATAGTGAGCACGTCGTCATCAACCCAGTCATGCAGACACCATTTCATGGTATACACCGCGGACGGCGGGATCTGCTTCGTGAAATCGCCGACAACGAGCTGCTGCACGCGCGACCCGATATCGCTAAACCGCCCGTGCGGTTCTCGGAATTCAGGCGTGACTAGCTCAATGACAGACTTGATATCCATGAGACTTCCCTGGAGATTGGGATGCGCTCGCAGCAGTGACGCCAGGAATGCGCCGGACCCGCCGCCGATGTCCAAGATGGGCTCGGAGCCGATCTCCTCCCAGGGATAGTCGACGGTCAGGCCGCGGGCTTGCGCTACGGCGCCGGCGCCCAGGGTCTTCTGGAACTTGGCCAGTTTCTGCTCTTTGGCGAGGTACTCGAAGAGGTCGAGTTCGGTGCCATAGGCGATCTGGGCGGCGGTGCGGCTCTCGCCTAGTTTGACGGCCTGGGGCATGGCGCGGCTGACGTCGAAGAACTCGTTTGGATATAGATCGGCCCAGAGGTGCCACTGGGCCCAGTGGTCGTGGCACAGAAGGAGGGATGCACGATTGTTGCTGTAGGTATCGTCGGCGGCGTTGTAGGCGAAGATGCCATTGTTGACGAGTGTGTCCAGCAGCTGGGCAAGCCGCTCGGGCTGGATGCCGCAGCGCAGACCGAGGGTTGATACCGGCTGAGGACCATTTTCCGCCAGCCGGTCTGCCACTTGGGCTTCGACGACGGTCCAGAGCGCCTTGCTGTTGAGATATCCTAGCGAAACATCGTCAGTACGTACCCTCAGTGTGCTTGTAGGACTCTCCGCTTACCGAAGAAGCCATCAGTCAACAAGGAGACGGACGGAACGAGCTGCAGTTGAAGCTTGTCCATACTGTCCACCAGATCCAACGCGCGCTGCTCCAGCTCCTTGTCGGGGAGCTGGTCCGGATGATGCAGCTGCTCATTCAGCCAGGACTGAACCTCGGGGGTCTCGATAGCGGATTGGATACGCTGCACATGTGCCTGTAGCTCGCGCAGCTCGTTGACGATGGCTTTCAATTCCTTGCGCGGCGTAGCATTGCCGTTCCGGGTGTCGTTCTCTAGTGGACCGGGCGCCATGGTTATCTCTTTGTTTGTAAACCTGTGGTTGATGTCTGCGATTGCATACTTGTTGATTGCGAGACCTCGGATACATATACTCGACACTGTCGGAGACATATGGAGACATATCTCCTTTTCGGTCGCCGAGCTCTAATATTGCACTTAATCGGTGACCAACTTGATATATCGATCGAATAAGTAAATTACCGATCTACTTAATCTAGAATCTTCCATAGGCGCGAAATACTACGATACTGTAGTCGAGGTAGAACCGTAGGGCTGGTCAACCCCAGGGCCAAGACATCGGGCTAGCTAGTAAGCAACCTAGAATCAACATACGATTAAAGGGATAGATTCAGTGGTATAACTGTATTGCATAAAACTGCACTACTCTATTGATAGTGGGAGGACTAAGGATCACGCCTCTAACATTCCATACTCCTTCTCGCCGTGTCCAAATCCGGCGACGCGCTGCCATGCCCGTTTGACGGCCTCTCGTTCACTCATGCGAACCGACCATTCCTGCAGTTTTGGCCATCTCTCAAACTCCAGACCAAACAGTTCCGCCGTGGATTTCATAGCAAAGGGCAAGGTGGCAATATCCGCAATGCTCGGTCGGTCCTTCAGAGCCAGGTACTCCTGGCCGGGTTCATTGAGGCGACGTTCCAGGATATCATATTGGACTGTAATGTTGCTGCGCAGTCTGCAAACCATATTAGATAAATGTATATTCAGGGACAAACGCGAGAGGCAGTGATTACTTTTCAATTGTTTTGGGGAGCTTCTCCGGGTGCAGCTTATAAAAATACAGCCAGTACTTGGCCGTGGGCCCCAGAGCCGCCGTATGCAGTGTCAACCAGTTATTGATTTCAGCTCTCTCCTGCACATTTCGTCCGCCAAAGGTCCCGTCCTTGTCGTATGCATCGGCAATGTATATTAGGGTCGAGGTCGATTCCCAGGCGCGGAGGGTGTCCTGGCTGTCGGGGGAGCGGTCCAGGATGGCGGGCACCATCTTGTGAGGATTGATCTCGCTGAACCAGGGCGCGGACACCTTTTCGACGACGTAGATGTCATGAGGAACTCCGAGCTCTTCGAGTAGGATCAACGGTTTGACGGTGTTGTGAGTGGATGTGGCGGTGCCTGAAGCCACTCCATGAGTGGAGGGTTTTGACGATGAGTTCAACTTGACTCACCTTTCACCACGAAAAGTACCAGCTTGTTTACTACAAGATCGGAGGGTCGTTCGGTCATTTTCACGGATATAGAATGATTAGAGAACTGAGAATAGTTTGTGAAAGGTCAGCGAGGGTAGGTTAGCAAGGGTAGACGCAAACGATATCTGTGGTCCTCCGCTCTCCTATATGTATACAACAGCCTCTTGTAGCCACCCACCCACGCGCCATCCGAATTTTCGGAGGCCGTCGGTGCCTCGAGAAGTAGCTAAAGTGGACAGACAGATAATCTGCTGGTTATCCTGTTTACTGAACGCAAAGAGCAAACAACATGGGGAAAGCGACGTTGCAAGACCCTCAGGGGGGCATCTGGTACTTTGCCTACGGCTCCAACTTACGCCTATCTGTACTGGAAAATCGAGGCATCAAGGCCCTGGATATCAAGACTGTCATTGTCCCCTCCCACTACCTGACTTTTGACATCTTTGGCATCCCGTACGCTGAGCCCTCGTTTGCCAGCGTCGCCCCCTTTGCACCCGACAAGAAAACCACTCTACGCCTGGGCGATTCACCCGCTCATCGCGAAGTTCCTCCTGTCCAGGGACTCGCCTATCTTTTGAATCCCAAAGATTACCGGCAGCTGGTCATCAGCGAAGGCGGCGGAGTGGCCTACGATGAGGTCGAGGTTCACGCCTCTATCCTCGACGAGGACGGCAAACCCGACCCAGGCAGTATCTTGATCGCTCGGACCTTGCAAGCCAAGTATCCCTGGCGACCCAACGGTGCGCCCAGTGCGCGCTACCTGGTGAGCTGTCTGGGAAGAGAATTATGGTATGACATACTGATTTGAAGCAGGGCCTCATCTCGACGGGATGCAAACAGAACAAGCCGCTCACGGCATACAACGCCTATATCGATTCCTTACCGTCGTACGAGCCGCCGACATCCTTCTATGCGAAGTTGGGCGGTCTTCTCTTCCTGATGTTTTGGCGTCCGCCTCTTCGTGTTTTGATTCGACTCATCAGGGTGCACACGGACGAAGACGGACATTGTCCGCAGTGGCTCGGTTGGATTATTTTGACTCTGTATGGGCTGATGTGGGCATATCATGATCATATCCACTCGAAAATCTGGGGGCGAGGCGATGGCCGGAAATTACATTTTGAAGAGACTACGGGGGAGAAACTGCTAGATGGTTAGGCAAGGGTAGAAACGGTAGTGAATGTATCTATTTTGTGCATTTTCGGAGAGAAATGATATTGAGACATCGGTCTATCCAGTGCGTGCATGGAAGCATGAAGAACGAGTGAGTACCTTGTAGCACTCGGTAGATGCATCCACACTTCGTCAGTGCCTGCATGTACTCTGTATTATAATGAAAAAGAGAGAATATACAAAATAGGATGCTGATTGGCTGACGGGCCGTCCCTTGCCCTAGATGAGGTTGTTCGGAGACTTAACGGAGACTTTGCCGCCACACCGAATCACAGCGGATGATGCTGCAAACAGTCAGAGATGAGCAGATTTCTTTCAGTTTGAGCAGGGATCTGCAGTAGCCAGCCAGGTCGGAATTGTAAATAGGACTCCTGACAAGTAGCGAGTCTAGAAGGGCTTCTTAGCTAAGATGCCAACACGAGATGCATGAAAGTCTCCATGTCTCCGATATCTCTATAGATATAGACGCCCCTTTCGACTTGTCCTCCACTGTTCGCACTCATGTCTACAATCATCTTCAAGTCAATTAACCATTTCCACTGACATCAAGCATCATGTCTAATACTTCTTTCGAAGAGCCCAAGCGAGGGCTGAATAGTCCTCCCAGCGATTCCATCATGGGCCAGGACCCAGCCCCGGAGGAGGAGATGCAGTATCCCTCTGGCCTTGCCCTCAGTGTCATCATGGCGGGCCTGGTGGCTGCCATCTTCCTCATCTCGCTCGACACCACCATTGTCTCGACCGCCATTCCCAGAATCACCGACGAGTTCCACACGGTAGCGGATATCGGGTGGTATGGGTCCGCCTTCTTTCTGACGCTCGCCTCCTTCCAAGGCACCTGGGGCAAGATCTACCGCTACTTCCCCCTCAAGCTGAGCTTTATCGCTGCCGTCCTCCTCTTCGAAGTCGGTTCGTTGATCTGCGCCGTCGCCCAAAACTCCGTGACCCTCATCGTCGGCCGAGCCATTGCCGGCATTGGGGCTGCAGGTATCTCCTCGGGCTCCTACACCATCCTCGCCTTTTCCGTGCACCCAAGCCGCCGTGCAGCCATGACGGGCGCCATCGGGGCCAGCTTTGCTGTGGCTGCGGTTGCTGGCCCGCTCATCGGTGGTGCCTTTACGTCGAACACAACCTGGCGATGGTGTTTCTGGATCAATCTGCCCATTGGAGGGGTTTCCGCCGCCCTGATCGCCATTTTCTTCAAGGCACCTGCGCAGGCCCGCGCCAAGAACGTCCCGTACAAGGAGATCCTGCTGCAGATGGACCCATCCGGTATTGTGCTGCTGCTCGGCGCCATCCTCTGCTTCCTGCTGGCCTTGCAATGGGGTGGCTCAGCCAAAGCCTGGGGAAGCGCCGATGTCGTCGGCACTCTGGTCGGGTTTGGCCTGCTTCTCATCGCGTTTACCATCAATGAACTCTGGCTCCAGGAGAAGGCCATGATCCCACCGCGCCTGCTCAAGGGACAGACCATTCTCTTCTCCTGTCTTTTCACCTTTTTCTTCTCGGGATCGTTCTACTTGCTCCTGTACTACCTGCCGACCTACTTCCAGTCTGTCAAGGGCGCGTCCGCCTCGGACTCAGGTGTGCGCACCCTACCCCTGGTCCTAGGCGATGGTCTCTTCGCCACGCTCTCGGGCGCCGCCCTCGGCATGATCGGCTACTACATGCCACTGTTGACCCTCGGCGGTGTCCTCACTACCGTCGCTAGCGGCTTGCTCTACACTCTGGATCTGCACTCCGGGCCCAACGCCTGGATCGGATACCAGGCCATGGCGGGAATCGGCATCGGCCTCGCCATCCAGGTCCCCATGATGGCCAGCCAGGCGGTCGTCGGCGTCGAGGATCTCTCGACCGTTTCGGCCATCATCCTCTTCTTCCAATGCATGGGCGGGGCCATCTTTGTGCAGGCTGGCCAAGCTGCTTTCACCAACAAGCTGGTCCAGGAGGTGCTGCGCCACTTGCCGAACGTCAGTGCAGCGCGGGTCACGTCGACGGGTGCGACTGAGCTGCAATCGGAGTTCCACGGCCATGAGCTCCAGGTTATTCTCGAGGCATATGTGGCCGGTCTGAAGGACGCTTTTATTGTGGCGATTGTGTTGGCGGGGATTGCTACCTTGTTGTCGCTGGGGTCGGGTTGGAGGAGTGTGAAGAGCAAGAAGGAGGAGCCCAAGGCGCAGCCTTGAGTATCTTAGTTGGACACATCTCTGCTTGGTTTTTAAGAATGAAGGATGGTAAATAGCGTTTATATCCAGTTGATGTGCTTTTCCTTTGTATCTTCTTCCGGGGCTTTGTTATTGCAATGATAGTATTGTTGTGTCACTGCTATGTCGTCTCTGCCATCATCCCCTAGTACCTAGAGGTAATTGTCTAGACACTCTTTAGCTGAGTGTTTGACTTAGGACATTATTTAAATAATAAGACTGCTCAATTCAAGCCCAGTCTGCAGTCAAATGACTGCTTCATGTACATTTGATAAAGAGACGTGCATCTAACTGCAAAGAAATATCAAACTACTGGCGAAAACCCCCCTTAAGAAACAGAAACTGTTACAAGCGTAGAACAATGTCTTAATTTTCATGGCACTATCGACTCTCTAATAATTACTCCACGTCCGGAGAGCAGTCGTCTACGGCCGACGACCCCAAACCGAGTTAAACCGAAGAATTCCGCCAATCGTCTCGAACTCAACCTTGATATCCCTGAGAATGGGATCAAAGTCCTCAGCACGAATACCCGTACCATCGGGAAGGCCTGCCTACGTCAGTAACCGCTACTATACCCAGTTCAAAAGCAAAGCAAAACTTACGCGTCGCAGCCGTCCTAAAGTTAGCCACCACCTCGAGCATATTCTGCTTCGCCATCTGCCCAAGCTTGGGGTCCGAATTTCCCGCCCCGATCGGAATCTCCATGACCTTCTCCTGCACGTCCTCGAGCCCATACTCCTCCAACCACTGACGCACCAGCTTCCCCGGCCTTGGATTCCAGCGGAAATGAGGCAGCATCTCGGCAACCAGGGCTTGGAAGCGTGCGAGAACGGGGTATTGCTTGCGCTGCTCGGGGGTGAGATGCTCGAGACTGCCCTCGGTGAACTGGACCCAGCCGGTTCCTGGTTTTGCGAGCTCAACGAGTCTGTAAAGGGCCTGGCGGCCTTCGTCTGGGGGGAGGCAGGCAATCACCAATTTCTGGTGGACGAGGTCGAAGGAGTTGTGCCATTCGGTTGGCCAAGGTTCGGAGATGGATTGGATGTGGAATTGGGTGTTGGGGGCCGGGTTGGCTGGGAAGGCTGTGGCGGAGACATCAGTGCCGACTAGGGTGGGGGATTTGAGGAGGGTCGAGGCGTCATGTAGCCAGAGGCCTGTGCATATTAGTCTCTGGGGCATATAGCATAAGGCAGTGGTTGACCTACCGTTGAAGGTTCCGCTGTCGAGGACTCGCAGATTGGGTTTGTCGAAAGGCAGAGGAGCCAGGATCAGTTTGCCCATGTAGGCTTTGATCAGGTCATGTTGCATGTTCATGCGTCTCTTCTCCTGCTCCTCGTAGTTGAGGAGGTAGCCGTTTTCGGAGTCGGGGAGGACAGTCATGGTGGCAGTCGCAGTTTCTGGTAGACAGTGATGAGTTTGGGCACGTCGTAAATGAAGGTTGACTTTGAACCTGGTATAGATAGATAGACCACTTATATAGACCACGTTCAGTCGAACACTCCACCCGTTTCGGACACCGAAATTGATTCTAAATGACCGTATGGGTCACGGCCTTGGCCATGACATTTGTTGAATGCTTTCGATTTTACGATTGAAGTAGTAGCACTCGGAGTCTCATCTCGGCGGATGAAGCTGTAGACTCGGACGCAGCCTACTATAGAAATGAATTCGTGACACAATAATCAAAGGCGATCTCATGTTAATGATATGCTCGGATACATTCGGATACATTTGTTCTAATTTCATATTGTTTGATACTATCCCACAGTAAAGGAGCGCTGAAATCTCAATTTTTCAAAGCCAGCCAAGTCACTTCAACCACAAAGGCATGGAATAAACCACTTGCTTGATATCTGGGACTTCCTCCGTTTACGACCTTGGCCTAAACTCGACCTCGGCTTCAGCATCCGGAAAAATAGCCAATCCACCATACTTGGGCTTCGGATGAGGCCGTCCCTCAACCAGCCGTAGATCATAGTGACGAATCACGTAGGCCACCACTACCTTAATCTCCGCGCTGGCAAAGAACCGTCCCGGGCAAGCCCAGATGCCATGCCCAAAATTGATGTTGTCGGCCCCAGTAGAGGTATGCTGCCAGCGGTTCTCGTTGGCTCCTCCCTGCTGGCGCAGACGAGCGAAACGGAAAGCGTCGAATCGTTCTGGATTCGGATACAGAGTGGCATTCTGGTTGATGGGCTGCGCGCGCACCATCACCAGATATCCGGGGGGAACCACATGGCCGGTCTTCAGTCGGAGGCCGTTTGGATCGGTGACGACTCGGGGGATGTTGACCAAGGAGGTCGGACTCAGACGTTGCGATTCGCGCACAAAGCTGTCCAGCTTGATCAGGCGCGGGAGGGTGGTCTTGTCGATGCTCTCGGCGCCGACGTTGGGGCCTAGAACCTGGTCGAGTTCCTCGCGTAGCTCGTCCACGACGGCTGGGTACGCAGCCAGATCGAAAATGACGTAGGTCAGCGCATTGGACAGGTTGTAGATCGAGGCAAAGGTGGCGAGCAGTTGATCCCGCGTGAGCTGCTGGGCCGTGGCCGTTTTACCCTGCGTCTGATACCGCGACTTGAACCAGTCGATCATGTCGCCGCCGGGGATCTTCTCCTTTGTGGGCGCCAGCTTCTGCGCTTCTTGATCGGCAAGGAGCTTTGCGATCTTGCGCCCGATGAGCGCCTTGTTCTGCTCTAGGGTCTTGACCTCGCGCAGGAACGGGGCCACCAGCGGTCGGATCCAGTGCGGGTAGAAGCGCAGGACCATCCACGCGCGAGAGACATCCTGCGTGTAGTTGACGTTGGACTCGATCCAGTCTGGTTCTCGGCTGAGGGGCAAGCCGACAAAGGCGCGGCCGGACAGGATTGTGGCGACCTTGGGCATGATCGACCGCGGCTTCACTCGGGTCCAGGTGTTGGGCGGGACCTGGAGCACTGTCGACATGGCGTAGTCGATCTCGGCTGTAAACGAGGCCAACACGGCCGGGGTGTTGCGGACAAGGAGATATCTCATCGCGTCGTCGAATTCGTCGGCCTTGGTGCCCATGTACGAGTATTCGCCGAGGAACTGGTTGTAATGGTGCTTCTTGATGGACAGCTGGTTCTCCGGCAGCGCCTTGACGGTGTCGATTTCAGAAACGGGCAGAACAACTAATTGTTGTCCTGGCACTCCCAGTGCGAACGGAGCATCTGGGTACTGCTACTGTCAGCTTCATAGAACGGACTGTGGTTGTTGTTGGGAGTACCTTGGCATGGCCTTCCTCCAGCGTTTTCACAATATCCTGATCACCAACACTTTGGAGAACCGGCAAGTCGAGCGCTTTCAGACTTTTGGTCTTTAGCAGGAAGAGTCGATATACCCAGTAGAGCAGACCGACCCCAAACGAGACCGCGACTGCAGTTCGCAGGGACTGGGGGAGGTAGACTTGGTCCATGGCGAGTGCTTCAGATCTCATCTCTTTGCTTCGAGAGAGGTTCAATTCAATTCTATACTAAGTTCTCCATGAACTATATGCAATTCTATTTGATTCTTTCAAACATGGCGCAACATGCGTCTTATACATCGCTTACATGGCGATTGGCCCATCCCGCGGAAACATTTTTCGGATCCCGAGAAAAGTGTCCGAACTCATCTGAGGTATTTAAATACGACGCAAACGAGGCTCTTTCTTTCTTCATTTCTTTTCTCTTGTTAATCTCTTGCATAAACTTACCATCTTGAATACCACAAACATGTCGATCGGCAAACTACTATCCAACGGAGCCCTCCTCGTCGACGTGCTCATCATCGGCGCCGGTCCGGCTGGTCTGTCAACAGCCACCGGCCTGGCTCGTCAACTACATACAGCAGTCGTCTTCGACTCTGGCGTGTACCGCAATGCAAAGACCCAACACATGCACAATGTCCTCGGATGGGACCACCGCAACCCCGCCGAGCTGCGCGCCGCAGGTCGCGCCGATCTGACCAACCGCTACTCGACCATCCAATTCCAGAACAGCAGCATCGAGGCGATCAGACAGATTGAAAGCCACCAGCTGTTTGAGGCGCGCGACGCCGAAGGCCAGCGCTGGTATGGCCGCAAGGTCGTGCTGGCGACCGGCGTCCGAGACATCCCACTCGACATCGAGGGATACTCCGAGTGCTGGGCGAATGGCATCTACCACTGTCTCTTCTGCGACGGCTACGAGGAACGTGGCCAGGAGACCGCGGGTGTCCTTGCTCTGGGGCCTATCGCGAATCCTCCGCGGGCTCTGCATCTGGCTCGCATGGCCCAGCGGCTGTCCGAGTCTGTCACCGTCTACACCAATGGCAATGAGCAGCTGGCGAATGAGATCCAGCAGGCTGCCGAGGCGTCCCCTGCTGGCGCCTCGTGGCTAAAATTCGATGCTCGGCCCATCACGCGATTCGAAAAGGGCGAGGTCGCCAAGAGCGTCATTGTTCATTTTGGCGAGAACGAATCGAGAACAGAGGGCTTTTTGGTACGTTGCCCAGTTTAGTCTGAAGAGATGTCCTGCTAACCGCTGCAAACCGCTCAGGTGTACAACCCCCAAACAGAGGTGAACGGACCGTTTGCCAAGCAGCTCGCTTTGAACATGACAGAAGGAGGAGATATCGTGACCACGCCTCCCTTCCATGAGACCAGTGTACCAGGAGTGTTTGCAGTGGGCGATTGTGCCACGCCGTTAAAGGCCGTCACCCCGGCGGTGGCGATGGGATCTTTGGCTGCCGGAGGTCTGGTTGCTCAGTTGCAGGCTCAGCCATTGCCGGAGTTTCGTCTCGATAAGGAACTATAGGAGTTTGTTGTAGTTGTACATAGTTTTTTTTAGTTTCGCGAGGTTCAATTGAAATCAAGTGACTTTCCTTATTCCTGCGAATAGTTCCAGGTTCGTGAGCTATCTGTCTGCAAGAGATTCGTACCGAAGTAGATGAGAATCAAGACGCGGAGATGCAGTCGCACAAGACCTGGCGCCGGTCTGACACTTCATATTGCACTTGCTCTCCGTGGATAGCTATATATTCCACCGGTGATACAAAATCGGCGACCGAAACTCCGGCATTACTCTGAGGAAGATCCATATATCATAATATAACACCCCCAGAACGCAGAACGCAGACAAATTCTCAACGACAGCACCATCACCATGGCGACCTCCACCCCCTTCTTCGAATACAACATCTCCTTCACCACACCCGCCAACCCACCATCATGTGAGACCAAGCTCACGGCAAAGGATCTCTGGACCGGCATCGCGCGAGTGGCAGATACACCCCAGGAATATGCGCCCTACGTATCCAAGTGCGAGGTGCTCTCGCGCAACGGCCACGCTCTAGAGCGCAAGCTGACCATGGCGAACGGGGCGGTCCACAAAAGCGACGGGGAGACTATGTATCAGGATGTGTGGATTGCGGATCGTTTACTGGTAATTATCCGCCTATTACTTCAGAGAGCTTGACCTTGTGTGCAGTGCTGACTTGTCCAGGTGGAAGCCAGAACCAAGGATACTGGCGCGAAGACTACCTTCCTGCTGTCGTACCACGACTCGGCAACCGTCAGCCCTGAGTCGACGGATATCAGCTTTACTGTGATCTACGAGTTAAAGTTGACCGGGATCCAGCCTGGCAGTCCGGAGGCTGAGCGTATCCAGGCAGAATACCCCGAGCTGGCGCGCAAAGCCTGCACGTCGACGGTAGAACAGATTCGCGAACGGAAGAAGAATGGGCAGTTGGACGCGTGGGCTCAGGCTGGTGAATTTCCTGGCTGGTGATAGATGGGTGAATATTGATGGGATTTATTACGATGCGCCGTCTGGCATCAATCATCTGAGTGTAGTCTGGGTGGTGTAAATAAAGCCCTGGGCAGATCTCTTTTATATCATATGCCCTCCATGATTTATAGCCACACTTGCATTGTAGAGAGTGAAGTTAATAGATTATTAGCAGTGCGTTAAATAGTACTATATCAGGAGGTGAGAACAATAATTCTATGTTGATTTATGGATGGAGCATACCAATAACTGAGACCATGAGCTACTGATACACTCAAGTATGGCCTGAGATAGGTAAACTAAGTACTTTGCTGCTATGCCTGTGATTAACTAAAGCAGATAGCCAGAAGTTATGATGTAAGTTCAGTCTTAGTGTCTAACATGCTTCGAATCATTATGCGTAGGGCCATGTGCCCTGTATTACAAGCCCAGCCCTGCCCATAGGTCGTCCACGGTCTCTCTAACTGAACACCGAGCAGAATCAGAGAGTCAGGGATGAAAGATTGACGGCCATGAGAATAACTGCTACCTTTGGGTTATTACTATGCTGAAGGCCGTCTGTATATAAGATTGGCTCTCACCATCTCAGTCATCTTTGCTGTGCCTATACCATTCAAAAGTGAATCCAAGGTCAATAGGCTCCCCCGAAGAGAGCATGTTAAGATGACCACGCTCGACTAAGACCTGACAGGGTACCTTTCTCAAGAAGACTTCCTCTGTCAAGTTGTCCAGATTCACGTCGTCGCGGCTGTCTCAGTTGAATTCTCTGCGACCGCTTGCCTCGTGGTTGGTTCGGTCATTAAGGAGCGCCTCTGTACACGCGGCCAATTCGGCCACTGTGGCGTACTCGTTGTGCTCGCAGTCATCGACAATATTGTCAATCAACGTATCTCCATCTAGGTCCGGAATTCCATGTTCTGTAGTAGCTCCACAACCTTACGTCCATGCTCGTTAGGCACCTTGGTGAGACATTGATCTCCATAAACCTCGAAACCTTAGTTTATCAGGTAGTACAAAGAACCGAGGGCGAACTGCTCCGTTCGGGGGCCCAAGAACCCAGAACTTCCAGGTGGTCCCTCTTCTGTTTCACTGCTGTTGAGTATCCTTCCATATGGGGCTACGCAAGCTTCCAAATTCGACCCGACTTCCGCGGTACAATCGAAATCGGATAGTTTCAGTCGATCGTGATCAAGGAGGATATTCTCAGGCCGAAGGTCACCATGAGCGAGGTCGTTCATCCATTTCTTCCGCAGGGGGAGAGGTTCCAACTTTTCTATTTTGGTAACCATCATTGTTCCTTCGTCTCGAATAAGATTGCTTTTCATCCTGGAAAAAAGAGTACATCTAGCGACGCAGTGAGTAGGCATACCGTGCACCCTGTCAACTGCCAAAAGAGGTCACACCTCTCATGTACTCGAGAAAGATGCCTCCTTGCCAGACCCAATGCACTCCAGGAGACTCTCCTTGGATATCCATGGCAAGAGTGTATCTGAAGAGCAGAGAGAAGGTGAGGTCCTGACCTTAATAAGGCTGCACAGCTCAGAACTTTTGGTCCTACATGATCTGTCATACAAGGCTGGAACAGATGCACTTTGGCATTCCAGGATTGGTTGCCAATCCGCCCTTTGTCCTGGGCTGACACCAAAGAAATATGCACCCGGCTGCTTTGCATGGCGCACTACTCTAGAAAATGTGATCTAAACATCTTCCTTTATCTACCACCGAGCTTTCCCCGACTATGGGATGTTGCAGGGCTCAGGATAACCGACACCAACAGGCATGCTGACAATGAATGTGGACTTGAAGCCCATATTTCGAGGACAGATCCGTCGCACTGTGGTCGTCCGCGCTTTCGAACATTTTTGGAATGCTTTGAGGTGAGTGGCCCTGAAGGAGAGCATCTATGCCTTGCATATGAGCCTATGATGGACCCAGTATGGCTTTTCCAGAAACTCTTTAAAGATGGGAGGACTCGCTGGCAATTATCCAGACGTACATATGCGTTCTTCTTGCGGGTCTAGATTATCTTCGGAAAGAATGCAGGGTTGTCCATACTGGTATGTATCCATCTTACTGAACTGGTGCATTCATATCATACTGCTTGCAGCCTGTCTTGCAATTTCAAACTTGAGAGTATCATAGTCGTATCTAAAGGTCTACCTGTGCTTGGAGACTTCAAGGATTCCCAGTTACATCAACTAATGCAATACAAAATTGACGCTATAGGCTCACTGGTCTATCACTAACACTATTGTTTCGGGTCACAGATGAAATTGAGAATTTAGCCCCTAACCTAACTAGTAGAGATTACAGTGGGTGTAAAGCAGATAGGGAGATACTACATAGTGGTAAGAACCCTATATCCTAGTCTGGTTCTGACAGGACGTCGCATACTTTTGTTGATCCCTGTGGAAGCCTTAATGATTTCAATAGAATAAATAGAATAAATAGAATAAATAGAATAAATAGAATAAATAGAATAA